TGAATCACTTTGTTTTTGACTGTATTTAGATAAGGCCAAACAGGACAGTAAGAAAATGAAGCAATTCAGCCTTACCAAACATTTCATTTCAATATAGCTGAAACTGAGCACTTCAGAATATTGTGCTGGAAAAAAAAAACCCTAAGCATTAGACCTCCGACTCCAGCTAGAGACAACATGCTCAAAATCTCAGAACTTACCACAGAAGGGGAACGTTGTTCATTAGCCAGTTCTCCCTCTACTCTGTTTTTGCTATTTTAGATATACTATTTCCCATACTCTAAGACCTAGATCAAAAGCAGTGTTTTGGGTATATATCCCATATTGTGCTAGCATAAATGTATGCTGAAACGTCTTTATTGCATTGTTTAAACAAAGGATGAATTGTTCCTAAAACTAATGAGAAAGACTAACTGTGAAGAAGCCTCAGACGTGAGGCTTCTTCCTCAGAAATCCCATTTTTCATTTTTCTTCCCTGTCCCCAAGGTTTTGAGCAACAGGAGATGCAAACTCTCAGCATGTTAGAGAGACAATGTAATGTACACATGTAATTTAGTTCAGTTCTAGAATTCAAAGTGGAAGTAACAACAGTTAATGGACACCTGAGAAATTCAGTGGCAGAGAAATAAAGTTAGTGATATTTAAATTTTTTATATAAACAGATATTCAATATTAGCAGTTACTGGGAAGGCTTTTTTTCTTTTAATTATGCTATTTCAGATGAACAAATATTAGCATCAGAGCAAATAAATGAATATAAAACAAGCTGTGAGAAAAATGGCTTTTTAAAACTAATTCAGTACACTCCTATTTCCAAGAACAGTAAATATGTGACTGAATACCTAGTCCTCCAGCATGTGCATCAATGAGAGAAGCTGCTACTGCAGTCCCTTCGGGGAGACCAAGATCTTTCGCAGCCTCTGGCGTTAGACCTTTTCCAACAGACTCTCCAGGAGACAAGACGTGGTTTCCTGGGCAGACACAAGAAAAACCAAGCACCTGTCAATTTACTAAACAGAAAAACAAACACGTATGTTATTACAGCAACTCCTTTCCTCTTCCTCAACTTAGTGTGTCACACAAAACAAAAAGGTTCATCAAAGAGCTCTAACTATTATAAAATATATTTCATTACGTATGTGTATGTTAAAGACACAACCATGCTCTATCAGGCTGCCACACTGTAATTTAAAAGTTCAAAAGTATTCAATGTCTTATTCAGCCTCAGAGCAAAACTTCACCACAAACCATTAAATTCTGCTTAGCATCTTTCCAACAGATATGAAATACAAACGCAGAGATTCCAAGCTGCTTCTTAGTTACTGACTATGCTGTTTGCAGTCAGTCTCTATGTACGTGAATGAGATTCAGCTCAGCCTGGGCTCATAACTGAAACTGCACCTGCTGCACAAGGAAGTGGACATTTTTTCCATTTCTATCCTCTCCAAGAGGTTTCACTAGAAATAAGATGGCTATAGTAACAGAAACTCTGAAGGAGTAACTGGCTAAATTAGCAAATTCCTGCTACTCCAGCCGCATTTCTCACTGCCTTAAACTATCCACTTTTGCGTCTTCAACAGCCTTATGAAATATAAAGACATTATGGTCACCCCAAACATAATCAATGTAACCCTTCCCTCTCAATCTTGCCACCAAGGAGTCTGTTAGCAGGTCTGGTGTCCATTGGTCTCTATCACCATAATTTGTTTTTTTTCTTGCTAAAAATAAAAGAGATGATTGTTTTAATAATTAAATAGATATAGATGCTGCAGAGCTTAGAAGAGCAGATCTACAGTCACAAATCTTCCAGAATTCAAAGATTACTTGGCGATTCCTTTTCTTCCTCAGCCTCATCTCCGGGTAGAAGAATCTTCTCTGGGATGGCTGCTGAGCATGATCAGACCCAGAGCAATAGGGAAAGCCTGACAGCTCTCAGAGTTCACATACACTTCTCTCTTTACCTAAAGATTTTGCTAGAAAGCAAGTAAAATATCCTCCCCAACAGAGATTAATTAACAGGAACAGCACATCGTTAAGTTAGCAGGAATATACTGATGCCATTCAGCACAACTTTCTAGAAATACAGTTATAAAACCTCATTGGTAAGTGATATTAAAGTCGTAGGTGGAAAATGGGTCTTCAAGTTTTATATATCACACTGGTAGAAGATCCTTGGTTTTCCTGTAAGCAATTCATTTTAAAGAAGGTACCCATTTCCTGACTGACCAAGCGCTTGGAGCATTTTGTGACTAGACAGCACACAAAAACTTCTTGATGTTCTTTTAGAAACCTAGCTATGAAACTGGATCGCCCAGCGTTTCTGTTCTGATAATCACACCTCCTCTCCTGAAGTTTTAGGCTATGTCTCATGATGGAAATTTAAAATAAGCATGTACAGCCAGAACTTTCGCACTTGATTTGGGGTTTATATTCAAATATAAGGGGTAGTAAACAAAGCCACTATTTCAGGCTCTCCTGTAGCTTATAGAAAAGGAAGGGATCATATTAGACTATTTTCTCACAGAAAAATGTCTACATTTTATTAACTCTTAGTGTAAATTCAGAAAGACTGTGCTAGCTTTTCTGAGAGGTGTTATCTTTTCTGTTTTTTTGCAGTAAGTTGGAGAGCAGGATACTTCTCTTTAAGAGAAGTTTTGTGTTGCCTTTTTGGGCTTTTAAGACATCAGAGATTAATACCAGTAAAACAAAGTTGTCTGCTTCTCCTGACATTCAAAGACCCCGCAGGTGAAAGGAAGTGCAAAAAAGTTTCACGCAGCTAAAACCGTATCTTTTTCTTCAGAATCAGTTGCATGACCTGAAAATGTACAGCTATGGGATGAAACTAATCTGAAATAAAACCTCTTTCCAGGCATTCATTTCCATTGTTGACTTGTTTATATCAGTTGTACTGGTCAAACATTTCAGTGTGTAATTATTATGTGGTTAAAGTCCATTTTACAGATCAGGGCTACTATTAGACAAAAACCTTTTCCTATCAGCTTCTCAATTATTGTATTTCTAGCTAACGAGCACTAAGGGAGCAATTTCAGGGATACCGATCATCTTCTCTTCTGATGGCAGCAGTAGCAAATGACCATATAGATTCCTTTGGGACTAGTGATGTATCAGAACGGCCAGCAGCACTGCTATCCTCTTTGGGAACGTGTAGAGATGGGTTTGTTGTGATTTGAAGATGCAGGATAATAATTTTATGTTTTAATGAAATAAGTTACAGGCAGAGCATGCCCAGTTTGTTTCAGGAGTCACAGCAAACTGGAATAACTACTCCTTGACTGAAACCACTTCCTGACAATCTCAGAAGTGGCAAAACTCAGCAGTTGGCCGTTATATGGAGCGCTGAGGAAATGGAACCAACAAGAGGCCCCAGTCAAGTGCAAGAGTAGGAAGGAACCAGGCAAAAGTCTTTCCTTTTAGGGAAAAAAAGAGAACAGCATGGCATGCATGACAGAAAAGGAAGTGAAAATGAAGACCACTTTCCACACGTTGGAAAGAAGTAACCAGAGAATTGGTCCTCTTTCAAACCATCAGTTAGGAGAAGAGAATCTCCTCTCCCCTCATCAGGTAGTCAGAAGAACGGGAAAATATTTTCTACCTCTCAACAGCAACACAGGAGGTGAAGTGGAAACGATATGTCATTTGACGGCAAGGAAAGCACTTGAGTGGAACACAACGAAAGGAAACCCACTTTCTACCCAGAAGAAGAGAGGACGCTGACCGAAGCAAGAGCACAAAGGAGAGTCTCCTAGGCCACCCAGCAGTCAGAGAGTGCAGAAAAGAGGTGCCAGCAAGTGAGCGGAGCAACGAGAGGATATTGATTTTGTCCTTCTACTTTATCCTCGCAGAGTTAGAAATCAATGAAAACTCTACTATGCATGTTTATCATGCTCACACAAGGAGCTTCATAAAAGAAAAAAAGCAGGCTCTGCATGGCCACTCTGTCCCTCATCACTGAATTTGCTTCCCCACCCACACAAGCGTGAGTAAGGTGGTGAGGAATGGGCAGAGCCTTGACTTTACCACACGTATAGAGAGACATGGAAAGGGAATTATAACTCTCATGGTTTACTATTCACTGGAAAACTAGAAAACTCAGCTAAGCTTCAACACGCCTAGAGAGTCTGTAGGTGTAAAACTATTAAATGGTAAAATAAAAACACAAAAAGAGTAAATAAATAGGAGCCACAATTAAACAGTCAGGCATTTTAAACAGATTACATTCCAATACTAGGCTAGGAGAGAACGAAGAGATTCCTACTTGAGCAAAACACATTGGCTTTAGAAGTCAAGGGACAGCTACTACAAGGATAAAGTTATTAAACAGCTACACACCAGCAATTCAACAGCAGGTGCTGCCACCCTTAAATCCTACCTGCCAGGGGAAAGAAGCTGTCAGGGACGGAGGAAGGGAAATAAGAACTGCCTGCATACAGAGCCAGGCAGTGAGAGCATTACAGAAGGCTGCATAAAAGAGGCAGTGAAAGGACTGAGTCTTCTTAAGACTCTTGCCAAAGTAAATGTATCGAGTCTTTTGTTTACAGTAGTCTCCTGTGCAAGTCATTTACCTTTGCTAAACGACTTCCAAAATTAGACCTAACCAAACAAACCCATAATGGCTGAAGCTGGAGAACTTTCTGTTTCACATTCATACAACTGTTTCACTAATGCAATGCCTTAATCCACACCCTTTTCATTTTATATGAGACACACTATTTCTAGCTATTTTTTCCTCTATAAAGCAGCAAGTTTACAAAAGGAAAAAGCTGTCTGAATCTCTTCCTCCTCTTTTATCCTTCTTCGAAGACTAATGCTAGAATTTGCTACGATCAGGTTTTGCTTAAACAATTTATGTGCTACCAATGACCCTCTACCTTTTTAGGCACTTGCCACAGCAACCAGCTATTTACCAGATGTGACACACAAGACAGACAACACATCTTAAATCAACTTTAGTAATCTAAACTCACTAGAGTCTTACTAATATTTAATATAACTTTTTAGTGTGTAGACCTTTTTAAAAATAACAAAAGCAGAGCGCAGCAGGGGGCCCAGCTGACTCAACTATGACTTACTCATTTGAGAACAGCTTTTAATCTATCATGCAGAACTTGGTTGCATTTCCTATGTAATTATATTTGGCTGCATAAGTGCATAAAAATACAGAATAAACCAAATGGTGACATCCCCTTTCTTCATTAACTTGACACAAGCAAACTTAAAGGGATATATCAATCCCTTGTTTAAATCCCAGCAGCTTCAGAGAGAAACTCAACCAAAGAATGCCATTTTGCCTCTTTTTTTTAATCCCCCCTAAAACCCGACATTCTGAGTGCATTTTAATTTAAAAGACAACACACAAAATAGTTATCCCTTCAAATGAACAGTTTACAACATGCACTGAGAAAGTTATCTAGTTAAACAAAGTGATGCTGAACAAGCATCAAAGGAAATAGGACCTTAGTAAAAAGAGGCACGATCCACCTAAATGGACCTCATAGTAAGTAACGCAAGGGACTCTTCCTCCCCGCGCAGCCACAGTATTACAGGCTTGGTGGAACACTTTCTCCAAATTTTTGGTAATACCTCACATAGCAGATTTAGATGCCGAGTTAATTACAAAGCTGCATGCAATCTCCAGTTTTTACTTCATGTTTTATAATAATCCACAGAATGCCAGAAGTCAGGGACATGCAAGGAATCTGAATAAATAATATTAGAACTCTTCTGTTTTAACTTCCCAACCCTATTTCACATACATTACCAAACATCCCTCCCAGTTACACAAAATACTCACATTTAACTGAGATATGTATAGGTGATTATTCTAGAATTTTTAAGCATAGCTCATCAGCACAAATGGATATCACTAACAGAAGGATGTAGGATAATGACATGGACTAGAAAACCATAATATTCATTCTTTCTTAGGGCTGAAGGTATGGTAGTTAAAGGG